CGGCGGTCGGGGCGCGCGCGGCGCCGGCTTCCTCAAGTCCACCCTACCGGCTGCCGCCGCGGCTCCTGCGCGGAGTCCCCGGGGCTGCAGCCCGGCTGCTCGCAAGTGAGCGGAGAACAGAAAGTGCGCGCAGAGCGCCGCGGAGGCTGCGGGGGCGCCTACCTCGGGGCTCGCGGCGAGAGGGCGTGCGGCTGCCCTCGCGGCCGGTCAGGGCTGCTCCATGGGAAAGTGAGAGGAGCCCCGGAGCCGCGCTGCCTCCGCTCCACTGTACGCTGCTCCACATACAGTACATGCAACCCGAGAGACCGAAAACACTCACTTTATATAAGGCGGCCTGCCATTGGCCCGCGCCGTGACGGGCAGGCGGCGCGGCCAAACAGGAGGCCCGTTACACCCAAACACACGCACTCATACACACATTTTACAGAGACACACAAAGATCATCACATTTTCTATTTTTTAATGTTCGGGACCTGTAGACAGTAGGAGAGGACAGGTAGAGAGGCCCCACAGAGTGGGGGGCAGCGGGGAAATCCTGTCTGCGCCAAGTTGCCGGGCTTGGATCTGGTGTCCTTTTGACTTGGGAGGGTTATGGTAATAAACTACAACTCCACTGGGCATGGAAGTAAGGGGTTTTTTGATCGCTGCCTTGCGGTGCCCCATGAAAGAGGCGTGCATTGTATTATGATTTTACAGACTGGCTTGGCTAACAAGTGGCCAAGCAAGGCTTTTATGGGCTCGGATTTCTTTTCTCAATGGGTTAGCTATCACATAGGCCAAAATAGTGCATGATAAGTTTGTGAGGACTACAGTGCATTGAGGCTGTTAATCCCCCAGTCGTAGGTAGATTCAGGAAGGCAGTACAACAGACAGAAAGAGAGATAAACACTCTGCTAAAATGGCCAGTCCACTTTTAGCTAGTCGGAAGACCGAGATCACCCGTGTGGGTATGCAACTCTGCTGCAATGTAGACTAAGTCATGGAATTTTGACTATTAACACTTTGCCTTAAAACCAGTCCTTTTGATTCGATATGTGCAAGATTTATGTTTTTAGAGTATATATGGATATAAGTGTACGTTCGTACATACATATTTCACATAATATGTGAATATTATATGTTGGGTGACTGTTGGAGACACTAATCTGATACCTGGATTTAAAGATTTTTTTATGATGCACCTTTGGCAGGTTATATTTCATAGTCTGAAGTAAATAAGTGAACAGGTTGCCGGGAAAATTGAAAACTGGAAATTAGGCGGAATACATTCGAAAATCAATTCTAAGTAGTTGAGCAATCTCTAGCAAGTAATTTACTTTCTTTAATGTTCAGAGTTGATTTTAGTTTTCATTTTAAGATTAGAATAAGATTTTTCCAGATTCTCTTCATTAGATGTTTATTCAGCATATACTATGTGCCAGCCATCTTAGAACCCAGACGTTTTCCTAAGGTCCCTTATTTTTGACAGTCTGTGAATTATTCTTAAACATGAACTTTTTGAAGATTAAATAAACAATATGATTTAATAGCCTAGCTTTTAAAACTTAAAAGAAAACTGAGTACAAAAACTTATTTCAAGTCTGCTATTATTTCCTTGATGCCATCTTAAGATGTTTCTCTTGCATCCATAAAGCTATCAAATTAGTATTGGTGTGTACATTTGTTAAGAGTGGAAAAGAGAAACAAATGCAGAGAAACTTTGAGTTTTTGAAGTTTAAAAAACAAAGTGGCATTTAGAAATGTGATGTTTTTGTTTCTTTAAAAAAAGGAAAATAATTTTTGAAGAGAAAAGTGTATAAAACCACAATCTTCTGCATTTACGTGACAGAAGGAACAAAGTGTCCTTTATCCACACTACACTGCTCTAAGGTAGTTGATAAGTGTTATTATTTCTCTTTCACTTATAAGAAAAATGACACAGGGACAAATTCGATACGCTGCTCGATATTACACAGAATACCAATGAAGAAGAAACGAAACCCAGGACTTTTCATACCCACCACAGGTTCTGAGGAACTTGACAGCCCTTCCCTCCAAATTAAAAACTTCAGGGACAAGAGGCACATGGAGGAAAAACTTCCTTAGGATTTCACTGTGCTCTTTCTTAAAGAGAAAACAGTCAACAAGAGTTGCTATATTCAATTTCTAGGTGAAGTATTGTGAATTATTTGCTAGTACATACATGTATTTATGAAAAATATTAAAGACTAACCTAGTCCCCACTCCTAGCCCCCAGCCTCTACCGAAGGAGAGCACAATTTATTTTGTTACGGTTGCAAAGATATTTCTGTTGAATTATGCTTAGCTTAGCAGAATTATTTAGAGCCACAAACTTGAAATTTTAGATCACTTACTGCTATTAGTAAAATGAGCATGTAGCCTCAGTATATGTATATTCACGGATACATCACAAATATACCACTGTGTGGATATATTATTTATTATTATAAAACATATAGTCACAAAAGCAAAGTGACATTGATGAAAAAAGTAAGAGATTTAATTTCTTCCCGAGTCCACTTGAGTGTGGATGTCTGTGATTGAGTCTTAGCACATCATACCCCGGGGTTTTCATTTTAATTTGTAGGTCTGTGACAATATGAGGTGCTAACTTACCAGAACCGACACACAAGAATATAAGAGCACTGAGGTAACTCACTGCAGATCATTACTGCTGCTGGACAAACTGGTATGTCCGCAGAACGTTTAGACTTGGAAAAATGACATTTTTTAAGAATACACACTGCATACTGTGGTGCATTTGTATGGAGCATCACGGTGCTTTCGAGGCCTGTGTGATATTCTTTCGCTGAACATTTATTCTGTGTGCTAAGCACTTCTGCATACCAAATGCTAGAAAAGGAAAATTACCTACTCCTAGGTGAAGCAGTAGAATTCTAGTCTCCTGTGTGACAGATAGGGCCTCATGACTAAATAAGAAAAAAGGGCTTGGAGCTAACTTTAATGCAATATTTTACCGCTCTAGAAATATTTTTTGTGTTTTTTCATTTGAGAATAAATATCAAGAAACTTTAAATTCTAATGGTGCTCAATAGTTACGAGTCATAGTTTGCAGAGCTTAATTGTTGTAATATATAGCTATGAAAGCAGAAACAGCTGTTTGTTACCTGGGTAAAATGACATGGAAAGGAGCCAATACAGACAGCCATAGTGTGCAGCCCTGGAATCCCAGCACTCTGGGAAACTGAGGCAGAGGATCACAAGTTCGAGCCCAGTCTGAACGACTTAGCAAGAACCTGTCTCAAAATAAAAAACAAATAAAAGGGCTGGGGATGTGGCTCAGTGTGAAGGCCTTAGAGGTTCGATCCCAGTACCAAAAAGGGGGCGGGGTCAGCATTTTTTCTTGTTTTCCCATTTGATGATCAGTCAAAAGTTGAGCTTACATCATTAGCATGTCCCTTATTCTCATGCATTGTCTATTTCTTAATCTTATTCGATGAGTCCTTTAGAGTATGCCACATGAAATAATTTTGGTAAATTTAAATATGTAAGTGAATATGTATATATGTGTGTATATTATTTAAGCATATGTCTGTGCTTTTATTTCATCTATTTTCCTTTATTATTCAGTCCTACTTCAGATACTGACTTTACTACTTCATAGTTTATAAACTTGGAAAATTTTCTTAATCATTTTAAGACTCAGTTTCCTTGTTTGTAAAATGGAGATAATAAGAGTGATCATACATTATATAATACATATAAAATGTTTAAGACTGGAACCTACTAAGCATTCAGTCCGTGTTATTATTTGTCTTTCATGTATACAAGTCAGTGACAGCTGCTTTGTAAGTCTTAGCTGTCACATCAGTGGAGTTTATAGAACCTGTTGCACTTTCTGTACTCAGTATTTGCAATTGCCCCTTCCCCTATGCTCTATCAACTCCAGCATCTCTCCACAGAAAGGGTCATCGGCCTCACCATAGGACACAGCAAACAGCTTATTAGGTAGGGATTGTTAAACATCTAGGGAACCAAACTTGCAATAAATCATTCTTTGAAATAAGCTTTATTTAATGCACTGCAACTTTAGGTAGCGGTAGTGCCTTACATAACAGTTTATAACTTGTACTTGACCTTTCTGAGCTTCACTTTTTTCTCTCTCTCTGTAAGAAAAAAAAAAAATAAGGAAAAATCAGACCTCTCTTCTTAGGGCTAATGCATATGGACTAAAAATTGGACTTTGTACAGATGGATCACTTCTCAGCACCTGTACACAGATTCCTAATCTTGAAAAGAACCAGCTTCTATGGAGCCCCAACAGAGCTGGAAATAAGTAAGAAAGAGAACACCCTCCTTTCCTAGGTTGATGCCCTGCAAAACATTGTGGATTTCCCACTCTCCTGGGGCCTTCTGTACGTATTTTATCTGCAGTACTCATAAGGCATTTAAAGACTTGGTCTTGTATTACATTATCGATATATTGACAGAAATCTGTAAGTGATGGCAAACACCTTGAGAAAAATGGTGACATCTTTTCCACATTTTGTTTTCCAACAATGATGATAACAGCAACTAGCACATTGTCTGGTATTATAAGAAAGATTTTGTAAAATAATTAAAACAAGCAAAACCCAACAAACAAAAAAAAAAACCCATAAATTCTAAGCAAGTCCAAAGAGAATCCAGGGACAAGGGAAGTGTCAGAGAAGATTGAGGTTCCCAGGTAAATGGTAATAAGACTTACATTATAGTCATCATAGGTCATATATATATATACATGTTGCTTTAATTTCTAAAGCATTTTAAATTAAAGATAATATAGTCACTAAAATCTGCATAAGGTAGTAAGGCAGCAGGACTTCTTTTTAAAAGATGAAAACTTTGAAACAGGGAAAGTTTAAATTATCCTCTCAATATTATTCAACTAATAGCCAAGCTTGGCAGAGCTGGGGTTAGTACAAGGGTTCTAGACCCTCTGATTCTGTTTCTCTGGGAGTGGAGGAGAAAAGAGAAGTACTACAGATAGACTGTAGAAGTCGCTACTCAGTGATTGTACAATATGGGTTTGATCATTAGTTTTAGTTTTAACAGTAGCCAGGAGGTCCTTTAAGTCATTATCACATTAAGAACTTCAACAGCGTCTCCAAAAAGGAACTTCTGCATGAAACTTCCAGGTCCTGGGCATCCCTTCTTCCTGAGATGGACCATTCATCTTGACATTTTCAATCACTAACTATAAAGTTCTTCCCAATACTTAACACAATTTATCTGATTTTAAGTTTCACCTACTATTTTTGTTTTGAACTTTCCCCCTACTGCTTGGGACCATACC